GTATAAAGCTGTAGTAATGTGCAAATTTCCAAACTGTGGGATCAATAAAGTTTTATCTTATCTTATTTTAGCTTAAAAACAGTTTTTAGTCGGTAGATAACTGTGTTTTTGCTATGAAACTACAAACATGGCCGAACGGGGTGGAGTCGAACGCTCAGCGACCTGGAGGGGGCGGGGTGTGAAATATCTCATTTGCATATAAAGAGACCAAAACAGCTTGCTCTGAGGCGCAACTCAGAACAGGGGTAAAGCAAGGAAAGCAAGGAGTCTGTGGAGCAACAAAAATGAGGATTTAAGACCAAAGCGTTGCAGTTTTATTTTAAATAGACCATAAGTGAATGATTTAGATGTGAAAAAGAAGGATTTAAAAGCATGATATGATACATTTAAGGCTAAAACACATTGCTTCTTTGTGTGACATCATAAGTAAATCTAAAGAAATCAGCCAAAATATCAGGAAGAGGATTGTCAACTTCAACAATTTCAGTCACAATTTCCAGATACCTGAAAGTGCCATGTTCATCTAGTCAAACAGGCCTGTTTGACTAGATGAACTATCTGAACTGTTGAGTCAGTATGATTTGGAGAGACTGGAAGGAACAACCTTCTGGAGAAGCATTTCCCTTAATTAATATCCATATTTTAGATGTACTTAATTTATCTTCAATGAACGGTTATGTGCCACAGAGCTTTAAGGTTGCTGTAATTAAATCTTTACTTAAGAAACCTGGGGCCTCATGTATCAACGGTGCGTATGCACAAAAACCTTGCGTACGCCTTTTTCCACACAAAACTCTGGATGTATCAAAACTCAACTGGACGTGGAAATGTGCGCTGCCCCCCGCCAACTCCAGGGCTGGCGTACGCATGTTTCTGCGGTTTTGGTTCCATTGGCAACACTTAGAGGTGATTCTGAGAAACTGTTCATGATGTGAAAATGATTATTGATCACACCAGACACACATGATTAACAATTATGACATCCACATGGACGCAGTTAGATAAAGGACACGCAAAGTTGTGCCAAAAATACATAAAACAGGAACTGATTCAGTCTTACTGGAGGATATAATAAAAAGTGTAACACGCAGAACATTTATTATAAACAGATATAATTTTCTGATGATGAGTGGCTCATCAGCCGTTTTGAGGAAAAATCTTTTTTTAGTTTGGCACTGCTGCGCTTTGGGAGCACGACGCAGCAAGTAGCCACGTACGCCACCTGTGCACGTGCAGCAGCAGCGATTGAACTGGTGTTCCACAGGAGCTTTCCAGAGGGAGCTGGCAGACCCATCGGGACTCAGTCCAGTCCACCCAAGATTTCTCCAAAATGACACGTGGAAGTACACTTTACAACTTGTGAAAATGCTGTAAGCAGGAGAGCAAAAGCTTGACAGACAGACAGACTGCGCAAAAAGGCTGCGGCGAGCGCAGCGTTTGTGGAGACTCTCCAACATCATGTCATGTTATGGAAACTCTTCACTGAAGTGCAGAGACTCATTTCTTCATATCAGCTATAAAATAAACTAAGATCTATGTTCTACCAAACATTTAAGTTCCTCTGTGTTTAC